TAGGAGGTCCACCATTCAAGCCCCATTTGCTCCTTAACCACGTGTGGGTCCCTGGGCCACAAAAAACTCTCCCTCTCAGAGTTTCCATTTGCTCATCATTAAAGCAGGGATGATACTGCCTACCTCACAGGTTTCTGAGGAGAGGTAAAGGGGAGAATGTAGCAAGGGCACCTCACTAACACTCATTTGAATACTAATCTGAAAACAGATTCCAAGAAATTTCATAAAGATTATTGCTTTTTTTTTTTTTTCCCTAAATACCATACCCTAGACCACACCGTTTATTCAACAAACATTTATGGAGTACCTGCTGGGCGCTGGGCCCACTGCCAATCACTTTTCATGGCTGTGGGAGGAGAAGGAATAGATTATTGCTCTGGAGTAAAGGCTCTCTATGCTTAGGTGTAGTATTTATTAGTTTAATGTCGTACTAGATGGCTAGTTTTTAATTTAATCTTTTACAAGCTACCGGGAACACCCTATTTCTAAAAATGACCCTGTAGAAGGATGTGAGTTGTTGAATCGAAATGAGAGAAATCTCCTCTACCCTTAGGAGTTTCCCTGGCGAAGATCATCTGATAGCGGTGTGTTTGGGAAATAAAAGCACAGAGCTGGAAGGGATTTCTAGAAAGAAAGCTGAGGGCTGGGGTTGATGGGATTTGAGATCTCGCCGTACCCATTTGTTATTAGCTCACAGCTCTCTCCAGAGGACTTCACACATAGCAGATGCTTGGTAGGACTTGTCAGTGACCTCACAGCAGAAGTTGTGCATTTAGAGGAGAGGCAGGGAGGGAGGGAGGCAGGGAGGCAGGGAGGCCAGGAGCCATGTCCTCTAAGGAAGCACTTGACTCTTAGGTAAGCCCTGCTTGTGCCAGCCTCCACACAAGGTGTTTTCCTGGGTTATCTAATTTAAATCTCCTGTTAACCCTAAAAGGTATAAATTCCATTATTATTACCATCTGTATACGCTGATAATGTATAGACTTGAAGAAATTAAGTAACTTGCCCAAAGCCATACCCACACACACCCCCAGAGAGTCACTGGTCTGGTTGGCTCCAACCCTAGGATTTCTCCAGCGCGATGTGTTGGATCTCTTGGGAAAGTCATTTCTCCTTCCTGAATCTGTTTCCCCAACCTGCAAATAACGGCTATGACGCAGGACGACCGCAAGGTCTCTTCAGATCTTTGGATTTCTACCCGTAGAAGTGCTTTAGCCAAGGGTTGACAAACTGTGGCCCGTGGACCAAATCCAGCCAGCCAGTTGTTTTTATAAACAGTTTCATCAGAACACGGCCACACCTAGTCATTTATGTCTCAGCTGTCACACAGATCTGACTAGGTGAGACAGAGACCATATGGCCGCAAAGCCTAACATGCTTACTGTCTGGCCCTCTATAGGAAGAGGTTGCCAGGCCCTGGAATATACCAATATATAGGTTTTAATAGTGAGAAACTATACATGGTGAATGGAAAAGAATCCCCAAGGCCACACAGCAATTGTGAACAGCTGGGGAGCTGGGAGACTTCCACTGTTCCGCATGTTACACTTTGCAATTATTTATTTACTTTTCACTAAGTTGCAACTTACAGCAATGTGCACAAGTCCTAGATGTGTAGCCTGATGATGTAGCTGCCATTCCCATGTCAACACAGAGAACTTTCCTGGCAGCCCGGAAAGCCCGCTCGTGGCCCATCCCTGTGAACACACCCCCCTTCCCCGGAGCAACCTCCGTGTGAGCCTCTATCAGCATGGATTACTTCTTCTTGCTTTTTAACTTCATATAGATGGAATCACACAGTGTATACCCCTTTCTGTCCAGGAATGGTATTTCGTTTTAAACTACAACTTCATTGCTGACAGTTTGGAAAATCGAGCTGCACACATAAAGGAATGCTGTCATCTAGAGATGATCACTTGTTCACTTACTTAACAGGTATTTTATTGAACATGTGCTATGTACCAGGCATCTCTCCGGGCACTGAAGAGGAAGACATGAGATGGTCCCTGCCCTCATGGGGCCTCCTGTCTGTGGTGCAGTTTTTCAAGGGCTGCTCAAAAGTCCCATGGCCAGCACTACACAGAGGCCCAGCCAGAGCTCATAAGCCACCTGCCCAAAGGCCTGGAAATGGACACCCTGGGATTATGGAACCATTTCGAAATGTCAGATCATAGAAGAGTTAGGGAGTTCAAATGGTTATACGGACTAACTGGCCTTTTTTTTCTTTCAAGAAATGCTTTTATGAGTAAGGAAATTCATTAAAGATTATTGAAGAGAAATCTTCTCATTTGGGGGAGGTCTTTTATTTTCTTCGAATTAACTAAGTGGCATCTCGATGTCCATTTTTTAGCATAAAATTTACTGGGGTCCAGTGGGAAATATGTTATTTCCTCCTGGTTGGGTGCCGTGAAGCCCCCACAGAGGAGTCTGATAATCTCCTTCATTCACCACGGCGGGGCATCATGAGAACACCACCGTGTTTCCAAGCTCAGACTGTCACTGAACTTTCTGAGACCTTAGAAAAAAATTATGGAAAATTTGAAACATCCAAATAGAAGAGTACAAGACCCCATAGATGTCATCATTCAGCTTCAGAAATTATAAAGTTTGCCAGTCGTGTTTCATCTATCCCTTCACATTTTATGGAGTGAGGGTGCTAACTGGCCATTTTTCAAAAGCAGAATCAGAGGCCCAGAGAAGGGTGCTCACCAAAGCCCTTGGGAAGGTGAAGAGTCTTCCAGAAAGGAGTATTGTATCCAGAGCTAGGACCTGAGGCTCTAACCCTACAGTCTAGAATGTTCTCTAGGCTGTGACAATACTCTCTAACAGTAAGGCCCCCACACCCCTTCACACCAGGATAGAATAGGACTTATGTTTTACTCTAGAGATTATTTCTTTTTTTTTTTAGTTAAACTCAATTCGCCCACATATAGGCCATCATTAGTTTTTGATGTAGTGTTCCATGATTCATTATTTGCGTATAACACCCAGTGCTCCATGCAGAACATGCCCTCTTTAATACCCATCACCAGGTTAACCCATTCTCCCACCCCCCTCCCCTCTAGAACCCTCAGTTTGTTTTTCAGAGTCCATTGTCTCTCATGGTTCGTCTCCCCCTCCAATTTCCCCCCCCTTCTTCATTCTTCCCCTCCTGCTATCTTCTTTTTTTTTTTTCTTAACATATATTGTATTATTTGTTTCAGAGGTACAGATCTGTGATTCAACAGTCTTGCACACTTCACAGCGCTCACCATAGCACATACCCTCCCCAATGTCTATCACCCAGCCGCTCCATCCCTCCCACCCCCCACCACTCCAGCAACCCTCAGTTTGTTTGCTGAGACTAAGAATTCCGAGATGATTTCATTTTGAGGCCTCCTAGAGACTGGCAGATCAATGGGAGAGACTTGGAGAGTGGAGTGGCAGAGGGTGGAGAGGACAAGGCTCTCCCTGCTGTAAGCAAAGCAGAGGGTAGGTAAGTTGGGGGGAGGGGCGGGGGAACATGGTGCACCCAAGAGCGGGAAAGGAATATCACTTATGCTTATGAAGTTACAGGAGAGTTGAATCCCCTGGAACCACATTTGCCATTCTGCGGAATTTCCAAGATGGTGCTCAGAAGGCCTTCATAGAGTGATGAGCCAACTGGATTTTAACTGATCTTACAACAGAGCCCGCACTTGCCACAGCAAATCTTAGGATTTGACCTGCAGATGCATCATTTGAGTAGAAGAACCTAATATAATCTCTTCAAATTCGGTTAACTCTTAAAAAAAAAAAAAAAAAAGCTGAGAATGGAATTGCTCAAAGAGATTAGCTGCCTGACTTCTTTGCCTATTTTCATGATGTGCTACTTTTTCTGTCTAAACGTGGGAGAGCAGGTCAGGTCATCCTCGGGGAACCCACAGTTACTAACTCAGTTAATCCTCACACAAAACCCGGCAGGGTGTATTATTATCACTTTCCACAGAAGGAAACGGAGGGTCAGAGTGATTATGTAATGTGTCCAAGTCCCAGCGCTGGTAAAGCAGATCTGAGACCCACATTTAGGTCTGTTTGATTTCAGCATCTACTCTCTATTTCTCTGCTGTGGATCCTTCACTTCTGCCTCGTAGAATCCCCGATTTCAATTTCCCATCTCCCAAAGCAGTAAAAGCTAGAGACTTTCCTCTTTCATCCTAATGCCCTGCTCACAAATCCTGAGCCCCAATCCTGGCCCTTCACTTAACTCCAGGGGCTGCGAGCCACCGCCTCAAAGTGTCTTATATTTCCCCACTGGACCATATGGCCGCAAAGCCTAACATGCTTACTGTCTGGCCCTTTATAGAAAAAGTTTGCCAGCCCCTGGAATATACCAGGGGGCTACGGTATTAGTTCATCACCATTTTATCCTGAGTGAAGCATAAACACAGAGGATTTCAACTGTACCCTTGTTTCCTCTGTTTGGGGGATGTTTAACCAAAGGGTTTTAGGAGATAACTCAATTAGCATTTATGACCCACATCCTGAAAGACTGTCTGCTGAGATACTTAACACTTTTCTTTTTAAATGTCCGTATGAAGAGGTAGGTATTGCACCTGCTCAGAGATCTGTAATTGCCGTTACTTAGTAAGCACCCATATTACACCAGATCACATATTCAAGGTAGGTCTGAGCAGGAGGAGTACAGAAAGTTGCTGGATACAGATAGCCAGATTAACAGAAAGATGTACCTGGACACTCATAGGAAATTTCCCTATCAAAGTGAAACTTCCTGTATGTTCACATCATTGGCTTGGGGTTGAGGGGGTAAGAATGGGTTTGCTAACACCTGAATTTTGAGAGATAAAGAAGCTTGAGTCAGACTTGGCACTCAGTAGTTGGAACTACAAATCAAAGCTTTGCTGTTGAAAGGGAAGTGATTGCTGGTTTTTTAATGGGTTTTCCCAGCTAAGCCCAGAAACTGATCTTCATTACACTTGACTGCTTCTATCATGATAGCAAGTGAGAGACAGAAAAAGAGCTTGTTCTCCAGGGACATTTACTCTGAACACTTCATTATCCTGGTTGAGGGGAGCTTGGTAGGCAGAGAATGTTCTCCCATGGGCTGAATTGTGAGGGGCAAGGACCTGCCATATGTCACAACAAACTAAAAGACAATAGGGTGAAATGAAGGGCCCTCCTTTCCATGAACTTCTTTCCCCTTTCTTAAGGAAAGAGCCTGAGGTAGTGTAAACCTCCCTCAAGGCTCCATGGGCATAATCGCCCCCTTCCTTCTGGTTCCCAGCACATGTCCCAGGCAGGATCACAGCAGACCCGGCCTTTAAAAGGGGCACTCCTTAGCAGCCAAACTTGGATCAGTCCCACCTGGAGCTTCTGCTCTCACACACCTAGATTTGATCCAGAACCAAGCAGATGAGGGCTGCTGACCCTTCCTCCCCCTTGCTGAAATTCCTCTTTTCCCAGAACTAGCCCCAACTTCCTCCTAATTGTCTTTTAAAGGTGGGAATGGTAGGAGAATTTGGTTAGAAGCTCCTTTGCAAATTCCCTGCTGATTCTGAATTTTTGTCCCTAATCTCCCAGTCCCTCCAAGCCCAGCTCGGGATCTGCCTGATTCTGAGAAGCTATGGCCTGCAGGGATTAGATTTTTCTACTGGGAACTGGCTTCCTCCCCTTCCCAGACTGGAAAGTGTGAACACCAATTATTAAGCCAAGGTTTCACAGGTGGTCTCATTCAATGGAGACAACGCCCCTCCCCCTGCACTGTTGGCGTCAGCATTTCACCGATGAGGAAACTGAGGCTTAGAGAGAGTCGGGGGTCCTCTGCCCCAGGAGCTATGGGTCCACGAACGGTGGATCCTAAAAAGCTCCTTGCCCTGTTCTTCTGCAGGTCTGGGCCAGCCTGTAGGTCCAGGGGCGCCTCAGGCCTCCTTCCTTCCCTCTCGTGACCCAGGGAGATGCAGGTGAAACTCCCGTAGAACTGAAAGGTTCGAGCTTCCTTCCTGACCCAGGCCAAGGTGGTAAAAATCTCCACTCCCTCAGCGGCTTCGTGGGCGTCGGCTCCCTCCCGCCACTGCCGCGGTGGCCTCGCGTCTGTCCGAGGAGCGCCGCTCTTGGCCCGGGGAACCGCTGTGTCCTGGAGCTGCGAATAAACCAGAAGGCAGTGGGCCGGGGAACACGCGGCTCCCACTGTCCGTCCGGCTTGCTGCCCGCCAAGCTTTGCTCTCGCTGTTTAGAAACGAGGCCCGGCAATCCTAGTTTTGCCGGGAAAGCGGAGGCGCTTTGATATTCTGGGTTTAAACAGGACAGCGTGGCCCAGGCGGCCAGCTCCCCCGCGGCTTGGCCAGCTCAGGTGCTGGTGCAGCCCGGCTGCTGGGGGAGCTCAACTTTGGCTACTCCCTGACCATAAACTAGCCGGCGCCTCCTCCCAAGGGTTCTCTGGGCCTCCTTCCCGCTCGCCTACGCTCGCTCTCCGGGCCAGCAGTTCTGCGAATCCAAACCTCCAGACTCGTCTGGTGAGGGCCTGGGGTCTGCAGAACAAGTAGCCCGGGTAGAACTAAATGGGGTCGCTGCGATCCGCACTCACCCCGCCTGAACCCCCGTTTCCCCCGAGTCTCCGCGTTCCCCAGGGGTCAGTTTCTCCTCGCCCGGCTGGCCCTCCCTGCCCACCACCTGCGTCGTTTGGGATGCGTTGGAAGGCCTCTCTACTCTCGCATCCTCCTCCATCTCCTTCTTCCGAGGGCACCCCAACTTCCCCCAGCTCTCACCTGCACACCCCCCCTCCGCCGAAGCGCAGTTTCTTCTCTCCACACTAAAACTGGACCCGGCGGCTGGAAAAGCCCCAGAGCCTCCCACACTAGGCTGCAAGCTACTTGCTTACCAAGTCCAAAGGTCAGCTAAAGTTTGGCTGATAAGCAGAACCAGTACAAGAAGGTCTTCAGCCCCCCAGCGTGAGTACAATGGACCCTGGCAAGCCCTGCTCCCGGCCAGGGTCTCCAGCTCTCCACGTCTGCCCCTCATGCTCTCCCTCTCTCGCTTTTCCCCCCCTCCCCACGACCATTTGCATCTTGCCGAAAGCCGGGCCCTCCCCGCTAATTTGCATATCTTATATGGCCTAATGGTGGCGATCATGGCAAGTTAGAAGTTTTCTGACTCCTCTCGGAGGAGACTCCGGGACCCCGGGGAGTAACAGGTGTCTGGAGGCTGAAGGGTGGGGGGGGTTCCTGGACTTGGGGTTCGCTTGTGAAACTCCCCTCCACCCTCCTCTCTCGCACCCACCCACCCCCTCACCCCCTTCTTTTTCTGTCCTTGGAAAATGGTGTCCAAGCTCACGTCGCTCCAGCAAGAACTCCTGAGCGCCCTGCTGAGCTCCGGGGTCACCAAGGAGGTGCTGGTCCAGGCCTTAGAGGAGTTGCTGCCATCCCCGAGTTTCGGGGTGAAGCTGGAGACGCTGCCCCTGTCCCCCGGGAACGGGGCCGACCCCGACACCAAGCCAGTCTTCCATACGCTCACCAACGGCCACGCCAAGGGCCGCTTGTCTGGGGACGAGGGCTCCGAGGACGGGGACGACTATGACACCCCTCCCATCCTCAAGGAGCTGCAGGCGCTCAACACCGAGGAGGCGGCGGAGCAGCGGGCGGAGGTGGACCGGATGCTCAGGTAGGCACGGACGGAGGTGGGGAGTATGCGCCCCAGTCCCCTTGCGCCCGGGCCTTGTGCCTGAGCGACGCTGCGCGCGACCCTGTTTCCCACCAGAGAAGTCACCCGGGGGGCGCTCCGCTTCTCTCCCAACACCTGGACCCCTCCCAATGCCGCAGTCGGAGGGCCCTGAATCCCGAGGTTCCATCTCTCCCTGCCCAGGCCAGCGCCCGGGACCCGAGGGCCCCTCCGGGCCTGGGAGAACCCGAGCGGCGGAGCCCTTGGCGGGAGGTGTGCGCGCGCGACTGAGGGTGCGAGTGGGTGCAGTGAATCAGGGGCCACTTCCCGGGAGCAGAGGCTCCGGCCCGCACCGGTCCCAGGCCAAGCGTTTCTCCTGCGCGCCGCCTCTCGGGTCCCGGGAAACACGGGCCGACCTCGGGCGCAGCCTCCTGCTGCTCTTTGCAGACGGACTGGCGGCACCCCGGGCCGGGATCCCGGGGGGCGAGCTCTCTGGCGGGCACTCCCATATGCAGCGCCCCTGCAAGGCCCTAGGATTATCCGGAATCCCCAGGGCCGGGTTAGATTTGCAAAAGGAAATGTGTGCGTGTTGTAGGGCCGGGGTGGACCCGCACCGGGCAAAAGGATCTACGCAAGCCAGGGGCAAGTGCGGTTAAGACCGCCTTTCGCAGCGGATTTGGTCGCATTCTGAGAACGAAGGGCGTTTCCAGATCTGGCCGCCGACATGCCGGCGTCCTCGGGGAATTCGGGCCGGCTGGCGGGTCTGGGATCCTTTGCTGGGCCTCCCCGACCGGCCTAGGGCTTGGGCTTTGACAGCTAGTTACTAATTATCCAAAGAGCCAAGCGGTTCCCTTAGACCGCACGTCGCTCCCGGCCGCTCGGCTTTAGGACCGAGTTCCGTGCGTGGCCTCGGACACTTAAGCGCCGAGATTTCAGGGCAGGGGCCGGGACCAAAGTCTCGCCCCGACTCAGGCAGCCTCGGCCCCACGGCCTCAGCAGCAGTTAGGGGTGGGTTGTGACCTTGCATTTGAATTTGCCATCTGGGGACCCAGCGGCTTACTCTCTAGCAAAGTAAATCGGGGATTTCTAGATGGTTTTTTTTTCCGCCCCAAGTATTTTTGCTATTCGTAGGTTTGAGGTTCTTCCCTCAACGTTCCCCCGAGCGGCGGCGGTTTCTTCCCCGCGGGGGTTCGAGCACAGGAAAATGAGGGGTCGGAAGAGGAGCGGCTGGGGCTCCAGGGCGGCCTGGAGGCTGAGCAGGGCCGGGCAGTCTAACCGAGCTCCCGGCTGCCTGCCACGGGAAGCCCGCGGGGCCCAGGTCCATCCACCTGGCCGCAAGCGCCCGTCTTCTGACGGGGTTCTGGGAGGTTCTGCGAAGCCCGAGGCGACCCAGGGCCCCCTCCGCACCCAGCCCCGCGCTGGGCTGGACGCAGCAGAGATGTAACATAAACGGCAGCACGTGGAGTTAGGGTGTTATTAATTTATTTCTATAAATCATCAACAGAAAGATACACAAAGAGTCGTGATTAGGTTGAAACGAGAGGCGGGTTATTCATTGGTGAAATTGTAAACGCGGCTTGGAGGGGGAAGGAAGTCGGAAAGCCAACGCGGGGTTGCCGGCCGCTGCCCGCGCGCACGCTCGGCGCTGCGGGGCGCTGCCCGCCAGCCCCCCGGCGCCTAACCTGGGCAGCCCGAGCCGCCCCGCGGCGGTGCGCACCTGCAGGCCCTGCCCCGGCCGCGGCCGCGGGCCCTCGGCGCAGCGCCTGGCTCCAGCGGGGCGGGGAGGGAGGCGAGGGGCCGAGCCCCTCACCGGGGTGGAGACGTAGAGATGCAGGACAGACCCACGCTTTTCCCCCTTCCCAGGCAGGTGCCGCCTTCCCTCCCCCACCTCCGGGAGTGCTCAGACTTTATTAAAGTAATTTTTCAAGAAATTGCTAGCGGTTCCCAGGTCACTGCACGGTCGGCTCCCGAGCGCCGGGACTTCTGAGCACTCCCTTTTTTTGCACACCCTGTTCCCGTAAAGTGGAAAGAAAAGAACAGAAGTCTCTTTTGGACTGCCTGGACGCTCTTTCTACCTCCTAGAAGGGAAAGGCGAGAAGGGAAGGTCGGGAAGGGAAGGTCGGGAAGGGAAGGTCGGGGACTGCGCACTGCCAGGCCCGGGGCTCCGGGTTGGGGCCGCCTCGCTCGCCGGCCTCTAGGCTGGTGCGCCCAGGGCCTTTCCAAAGGGAAAGGAAGGAAGCCAGAGCTGAGGCTTCTGAAGAAACGCGGGGCGCACTGTGCTGGGGTCCAGGGCTCTCCTGCTCCCGGGCAGCAAAGTCACTGGAAAGGAGCCTGCTGGGCCCGCTCCGGGCGCCGGGGTCGCGCCTTTGACACCTGTGCTCTGAGCACAGTGGCCGCTCGTGTTTCTCCGGCTCCGTGTATTTGTCGGGGTTTGGAACCTCTCAATCTAAGCAGTATTTTCAAATGAACAAACGTAACCAGCTCTCCGGGGGCCTCCCGGTGAATACAGGTGAATTCTGTGGTCAGAGAGCTATAAAGGTACAACTACGCCATCTTACCCCGGACTCTTGTCATTAAATGCGGGCTGAAAGGTTTGCTAGAGTTTGTAGGGTTTCCCTTTTGTTGTTGTTGTTGTTGTTTCTTAACCTTCCCAATTGTTAAGCTCATTATTCTTTCCACGGAACCTTTCCGTCTTAGAACAGTAAATTATTTTGCTAGGTTTCTTAGACACACGAAATGAACACAGGTAAAGAAATTTAAACAAAACAAAAAGAGTCGAAGAATCTGTTAAAGCGGTATTAACTTTGAAAACCCAAACACTTTTTCTAACTTCCGAAGCGATTGTTTGTATCTGTTGAAAGTGTTTTTCCACCCTCAAAATATCTGTGGAAATATTCGCCAGAAGTAAGCTTTAAAATGATCGCTGATGTTTCTACGGGAATGTGCATTACGTGGATATTTTCCACGTGTGAAACTGGATTACGTTTTCTCATTTTTTGGTCCTTGTTACTTCATTATGTTTCATTACTTGGATGTACCTTTATAAATAGTTGAGAAATGTATTTATATATATATAATTAATATACATAATCTTAAAAGTTTGGCTTTCAAAACATCTCTGCCAAAGCCTGTGATCTCACGAATTTAATATCAAAGACTTGTTAAAAAAAACCAGTTATTCAGATGCTTACAAAATGTTTACTTACTGAATTTTTAAATTCGTTAAACAAAAATTAATTTTATTTGCCGTATGATAGGCACCATTTAGAAATAACAATTTCATTTGCAACAGTATGTCAGTTTTGTCCTCTGCTTTACACGTTCTTTATTGTTTCATATGAAACCAATTTTTCCCTTCATTTTTTTCATGTTCTATCAGGCTGTTATACACATCAGCATATAGTAAAGGAGTGCTGGGTCTTTTTTTTTTTTTAAGTTAAATATATAGCTGTATTAAATAGTATATGTGGATGTATTGTATGAATACTTTTGTTCTGTACTGTGCCTCATTTTTTAAATTTCTTGTAAGTTATATCTCTTACTTTTAAGTCACCTGCTCAATAAGCAAGAAAAGATATTGGCAAAGTTGAAAATATTTTAAATAAAATTCAAAGGCCCTAGTACATTGCTGTAAAGAAACTTTTTGCATATCTGTATTTCTGAGAAATGAAAAGTATAAGCGAGTTCTTAATCCCACGCTTGAAATTTATGAGAAACATTGCCTTCCAGATACATTTCTTCCCTGACAGGAAACAGTGGCATTTGGGATGGTTAATATCTTATTCAGAAATTGATTTGAAATTATTCATCCCCATTAGGTTTCATCTGGGAGGTGGGGGCTGTGGAGGGTTGTTGTTTGTTTGTTTGTTTTTTAAACTTGCCTCACCTCACTGGAGCGATTCTTCACTCTGGGAGGAACTTCATTGTATTTCTTAAAACTTTCCTGAAACTCTGAAAACTTTAACATTTGGTTGAGAAGTCCTCCCTGCTTCTCAGGAGATGACACAAATGTTTCGCTCTGATTTTATAAGACAGGAAACCGAGACATCCACTCAGAAGGGAAATAATGTGGAAAAGGTCTAGGATTCAAAACTGACGCTGCCCCCCTGTCCTTGTAGGATCAGCCAGCGCAGCCCCAAGTTAATGACATCTCCACTTTCCAGAAGGCCTCTTGCCTTCATGTCCCTCACTTTCCAGGGACATGAAGGAGAGCAAAAATAAAACAGGAACTTTTCTTTCTGCTTAAGAAAGTGAGTGCTGGTAGTGCCTTCCCATCCCTGAAGGTGGGAAGTCATTGTCACCTTTACCCTCCTGATCTCAGATGACAGGGACCGAGTGTACTGTATAGGAGCTTTCATCTCCCTTTCATTTAAGTTCTGTTTTGGCCTCACCTCTCTCCCAAGGATGTAGCTTGGGCAGATGGAGAAGTAGGTGAAGATCAGAGTTGTGCACAGAGTGTAGGTAAAAGCCCTAAAAAGAGAAAATTTCTCCCCTAGACATCTTCCGCCCAAATCCTAACCATCTGCTTATCTGTCCAGCGAGGACCCCTGGAGGGCTGCGAAAATGATCAAGGGCTACATGCAGCAACACAACATCCCTCAGAGGGAAGTGGTCGATGTCACAGGTCTCAACCAGTCCCACCTCTCTCAGCATCTTAACAAAGGCACCCCCATGAAGACCCAGAAGCGCGCAGCCCTCTACACCTGGTACGTCCGAAAGCAACGAGAGATCCTCCGACGTAAGTGCTCTAATCCCCCCTGGACCTCAACCTGGAATGACCTTTGCCCTAACTCTGACCCCTGTGGGATGCCTCAGTTTTGCCTGCATAGTACTTGGCAAATATAAGGAAGCTGGCAGGTGGATTTGGTTTTCATACTTACTGCACAGTGGATCGGCTTCCATCATTTTCTTCTCCCATGGTCCCTTGCTACCCAGCCAGCTGCCTTGACAGGTCTGTTACTGTGGGCAATGTACCTCCACACATTTTCTGGTCCCCGCTTCCAACATCCCTCTCTTTGAAACCAAGTAGGTAACAGTGGACTGTTGTCCCCAAAGTAAGCCAAGCAGCTCCCCTTGATACATGACCGCAGATCGGAGTTCCCAAGGAAGACATTCTGTAACCATCAATACCTGTTGATCACTATTACTGTTCTTTTCCTCCCCTCTGGACAGACTGTACAAAAGAGAAGATATTTGTATATATAGATATATTCAGAACTCGACCCTGTTTCTGGGAGGGGGGCGCACTTGCATCCCGAAGCAGTTTAAGGTGATTCCTCACATGTATCAAAATCCGCACAGTTTTGAGACTTCAGCTGATGACCCTGTTTGATGAGGAAGCTGCTCTGGCTAAGTCCGGACACAGCAACAGTGTCTGCATTTGGGATGCTGACCAATCAATAATTGTCATTCCCACTTCCATCCCCAAATTTCCTTTCTGTCCCAAGAGTTCTTCCACTCAGTAATACCAAGAGATTTTTTGTTTTCAAGCATAGGGAAGTTTGAACTGCATTTGAATGATGACTGTTTTATTTTTAGGAAAGTATACTTTTACATTATCCTTTAATTATTTTGATCTGGCCCTTTTCCCAGGAAAATTTTGTATGAGCTTTCCACTCTTCCCCACACACTGTCTTCGGGGCTGTGGGCTCCTCTCTCTTTGTCAAGATGCTAGTTTCCACCACTTCCTGGGTTGAATTTTTTTTTTTTTTTCCCCTCTCACTGGATGGCCACTTTAAAAAATCATTCTTGTTTTCTGCCATGCACTGCTCTGGAGGGATTGTTTCAGTATTTATCGTCTTAGTGTCCGTGGGCCGGAAAGGCCTTCATGGTGGAAGGAAGGGTTTTAGACATCCATCTCACATGATGGCTGTTTGGTGGAAGCATTAAATGGATAGATGATAAGAAGTGAAGCCAGAGTTCTTTGCTGCATAGGAGAACAGGTCCCCTTTAAACTCTGGGTTGATTCACCACCCACGGTGGCCAGGGCTTTAAGAATTTGTGTTTCTGACATGAAGCAACTCTCTGTTATTCCTGGAAAGTCTGAGAACATTCTCAGGAGCCACAGTCTCCGAAGGCCAGAGAACCCTTGGGCCTACCCTCACTCCAATCCAAGCCTCACGTGGCATCTCCGGTTTGAGCTGCCTCCCTGTGTTCAGTGGATGTTTTCTCAGAAATCAGAGAGATTCAGGAAAGGCCAGTTAGAAGCTATGAAAAAGACACACATCCCGGAAAGTTTCTCAAGATGCTCGAGAAGAGACAAAAACGGATGACTGTCCCTTGCAGGGGATTTTAAAAATTATTGTTATTATTTTAAAGCCGCATGAGACCTAAACCTTAGGAAACATTCCTTCATTCTGTAAATATTATTTGAACATCTATTAGGCGCCAAACACTGTCCTGGGCAGTGAGATGCGCGGGCCCTATTCTCCAGGGACTTACCACCTAATGGGGGAGATGACATGTTTGAGTAAATAATGACAGCTGCTTTCTAAGAGCTGTTACACGGGTGTACACAAGGGGCAGCAGAGGAGTTGCTAAATTGCCTGGAGACATCACAGAGGGCTTCCTAGAGGAGGTGGCATTGGAACCAATTCTTGAAGGATGAATACAAGACACACAAGCATGGGATAAAAATTAGCAAGTGAGATGGAATGTGTGGAAGGAGAAAGAGGGGGGAGCATTTAAAAAGAGGACATAAATTTTCTTGAAAAGTTAAAAATGATAATATCAGCGATAGTATTCACGGGCCCATCTACATGTAGAGAATCTGCTTGTCCAAGCTGGCTCCTGAGCCTATAAACAGGCTGCTGAAACCAGCTTCTCCAAGTTAGTTTTTATGGACAGCAAACATTTTTCTGTCTCCCCACTTTCCCCCATTGATCTAGAAGGAAGTGGAGGAGAGGTGGTGGTGGCTGGAGGATGGGCTGAAGTCTAGTTCTTCAAGACTCAAGAGGCTAGGGCCCTGAGGTGGGCAGAACCCAGATGTTTCCAGGCATCTGTAGTTGAGGCAGCCTGGCCGATCCCGGCGCATGCTGGGTTCTGGACATGATGCGGGGCTGCCTCCCCAGAGGGCAGACAGGCAGCCCCGAGCTCCGGGCAGCTGTGACTGAGCCTCACACCCACCACAGACAAAACTGGAGTCCATCCTATTACCTCCGCTCAGGTCAGACGTGAAGGTTTTGTGGGTGTATTGTTTGGGTTTGGTTTTTAGCAAGAGGTGATGCAGAGGCTGCTAAGGAGCCTGAGTGTCTGTAGGCTGGGCTCCCATCCTAGCTCGCGCCCCACATCCATGTGACTTTGGGCAAGTCATGTAACCAGTCCGAACTTCAATTTCTTCAGGTACAAAATGGAGAAGACGATATTTCTTGCACAGAGAGGTTGTGAGAATTAGATGGACCTTGTAGGATACCCCACCACACCGGTAGCTCAATACACGTTCATTGTCATGACATCTGTTCATCGCATGTGAAAAGCCTCGGGTGGATCCTGGGTCCCTGGGATTATGCATATGGGCTTTGCCTCGGACTCATGGTGATGCCACAGGGAGGAGAGGAGACCTTCTCTGAGCAGGGACCTTCTTTCTCCCCCTCTTACTGTCCCTCACGTAGCTATACTAGCCGGTGGCTGTGAAAGCACTTTGAAAAACATGGCCTCCCTAGGAATTTAGGTCCCCATCATCATCCTGACTAGCGGTAGATGTTCTTGAAAGACTGTTGAGTGCCCCCTTAGGTTTTTACCTGGTCCCATTCCACAGGCAGGGAAGCCGGGGGTAGAGGGTGGAGTTAGGTGAATGGCTGGGGCACTCCATTATCCAAAACTGAGGCAGTGGCTTCCTGCCAGGAGATTTGGCAGAGACTCTCTCGAGGTATCTGAAGCAATTGTTCAGAATCCATGCACACAGAGCTGCAAGTGGCCTGAGAATCCTCTAAAGCGGCTAGGGCCCAAATCAAAGGCCCCAGCAACACCTTCAGACACTGCTTATAATTTGGCCATTCGGCAGCGGGTTCAAACAAAGCCCGGCACCACCTATAGCTGAGTCCTGAGTCCAGGCTGGTTAGAGGCCCACTGTTCCTGAGGATGGACCAAAATGGAAATAGATCCTTAGATTGGTAGTAAGTTCCCCATCGCTGGAGGGTTATAGACTAGAAGACCATGTGGTAGGGTGTCGTAGAGGGGATTCAAGCATTAAATAGTGGCCCGACTTTGAACCTTGGAGACTTTTGGATCGAATTGCCTCTGAGACCTGCAGGAGTGACTCCAGGAACCAAGAAAGAAAAACATCAAGGTCCAGAACCTGGGGAGCCGGAGTTAGGAAGTGAATCTGTCATGTGTCCTTGCTCAGCAGGGTGGCTGGCCTCTATGCTTATTCATCTGTAAAATGGAACTAATGACTGCAAACCCTGCTTCATGTAGATGTGAGGAAGACGACAGCAAAGTTCTCTTCTCCCACAAGTAAATAGCAAATCTCATTTAAAGCCTATAGGCTAGGGTGTCCCCACTGGGTGAGCTGCCACCTTTCATTCATGCATTCAACAAAAAAGTGTATTGAGGGTCCCTATGTATCCGGACCCTGGGAATTGGAAGGACAGGGAGCATCACTTCATCTACATTTATCTTTGTCCAACTCATTAAATGCCATTGCTAGAAAGGTCCTGTGTTTGCAGTCTTCTGCATTTGCCATCTTTCAAAAGTGTAGGCAGATCCATAAGACCTTTCCCTCTTGGACTGTTGCCCTCAAAAATGGACCCCTGGACACACACACACACACACACACACACACACCCACACCCACCATTGCCTTTGAAATTATCTGAAATCAGAGAGCTTCTTCTCTTTCTGTTCTAAAACTCCAGTTACATTTATTTCCAAGTAATAGTGAACAGATTTTGGGTCTTGGGTTTTTCTAAGAGCATAACATCATAATGTAGATGCCTAGGATACATGAGAAGAGAGGAGAGATGGGGAGAGCTATTTTTAGTTTCTGAATATTTTGTCTAAGTGTGTATTGTACCTTTGAGCCCTTTACCTCTAGACCTGAGACTTGGTTGAGCTCATCCTCTTGGACACCAAAGTACAAGAGTTCAGGATTCAGAGGGTTGCTTCATGTCCGAGGGCCCATGAGCCAATGAGAAAACATAGCCACTAAAACAGTGGCTGGGCCACATGTGAGCTCCTTCAAAGAAAGGAAAGAGGTGGCTTTGGTGGAGTGCACCGAGGTGGGCAGTGAGGGGCCTGTTGTGGGCTTCCTCTCTGGCCCCCACTGCCCCACACATAATAATGGCAGATGGCAAAGCTTAGGGGAGAGGAATAAAGGTGTTTTTGTCTGTCTGTCTATCTGTCTGTCTGTTTGCCAAGTGAAGGCTACAGACCCTATCAAATCTACTCCTTTCTCTTTTCAGAATTCAACCAGACAGTCCAGAGTTCTGGAAATATGACAGACAAAAGCAGTCAGGATCAGCTGCTATTTCTCTTTCCAGAGTTCAGTCAACAGAGCCAGGGGCCTGGGCAGTCCGATGACGCCTGCTCTGAGCCCGCCAACAAGAAGATGCGTCGCAACCGGTTCAAATGGGGGCCCGCGTCCCAGCAAATCTTGTACCAGGCCTACGACCGGCAAAAGAACCCCAGCAAGGAAGAGAGGGAGGCCTTAGTGGAGGAGTGCAACAGGTAACACCACCAGAAACTCACTCAAGCAGGCGGGCAAGCACATGGACCTGAGACCCATCCCTTCAGTCCCGGGATATTGAAGTACTGGTTGTCCAGCTAAGTGTGGCTACAGCAGGGTTTCCCAAAGCATGTTCCATGAAACCCTGATTTCACGTTGTTAACAAATAAGTTTGAGAAACCTCAGGTGCATTCTTCCTCCTGGGGAGTCGTGACATATATTAACATATTAAAGACTCCGAGAAGGCCTAGAGTGAGAAACTTACTTTGCTTTGTTGAGTTGATTACGAGGCATGGGATCTTTTTCTCTGGGGGATACTTACACCATGAACTGTTATTGTAGGGAAGATACTTTGGAGGATGCTGGTCTAAAAATATGCCAGTGGAATGAGAACCATGTGTTTGACCTCCATGCAGACCAGGGAAAAACCGTCCCTTAGCCAGAGACTGGCTCTCGCTTTGACCAAATTTTTGTACAACCACTGGTCCAAGAGGAAACTTGGCAGAAAAGAACTGATCAGATCTGTCCAATCCACTCTGCCCACATTGATTAGAGTTCTTTTTGTATCTTAACAACCACATGTAATTTTAAAGAAAACTATTAGAAATCCTTGGGATATCTTTTTTTTTTTTCTTTCTTCATTCCTGCCATCCTCCATGACTCCACCATTGACTTTGACTTTCTAAAAAGTCTGGTCTTAAAAAGGCGGGGGCCGGGGGGCGGGGGCCGGGGGGCGGCGCCATGGTGACTTAGTCGGTTAAGCTTCAGACTCTTGA